TCACTGTATTCACCAACCTCCTCGTTCCGGATGAAAGGTTCATTATTTTGCGTTATTTCATCATCAGTTGTTTGGCTCACCCCGTATTGATGCGAATATGATGATTGCGTTGGATATGCCTCGTCTTCAAGGCGAACATATAATTCAATTGTCTTCAACTGGGGCATTGTGTAATGACATTGAAACATTGATTTGACTGCGCTGTCTGTATCTATCTGCATCATTACGTAGAACACATCATCGTCTACCCCATTACGTATTGGTTGACGGTAAGTAATATCCTGGACAGAACGATTCACTTTTTTTTCAATTCTATCTTTTAGATGACGGATATCAGAACTTCGGTGAAGTTTGAACATCACCGTATCTGTTCCGTTGAATGAAAAACCGATATTTTCATCAGTAAACACGGAACCGTTATAATGCATAGTGACCAATGTGTTTCTATCTGCCATGACCAAGGTTTTTGGAAATTAACAGTATGAGTGTATGAGTGGGAGGTAGATGTGCAGTCTACAACAATTGCATGTAAAATATATAGGAGAAGTGTGCATGCTGAACAAGTTAAGGGACGTCCATTCAAAGGACGAACCCACACATGCATAGTAAAGGGTCGTCCAACCCAAGGACGTACCAATTCATTTCTAGTATAGGGTCGTCCAACAAAAGGACGAACCAATGGGAAACGTGTAGGGGTTCGGTCAACAAAAGAGCGAACCATTGAAGAGGTAATTTTGCATGCAAGCCACTTGTCGTTGCATGCTTCTAGGGTTTGAACTATTAGGGTGCAGAGGAATCCATTAAGGCTGATGAAAAATAATAGGGTGCAGTATAGGGTGCATGCATGTGAGTTTCCAAAGGTTATTAGTGTGTATCACTACTTCACCACTTCACCATTTTTCTTATAAATACAATGCACATCCACATTTTAAAAATCATCACTTCAACATATATCACTACTTACTTCTAAATCAATAATTCAATATTTTTAAATTGCAATGTTGTGGCTGGGAGAAAATCATCGGGGAACACCGGCCAATATTGCCGCATTTGTATGTTATTTTTATTCACATTTCTGTTATTTATCTATTTGAATTTATTGATTTGTATTCATTTCAATCATTCAACAAGTTTGTATTTATTTGTTTTTATATGTGTAACAGTCCGATAGCGAGAGATTCAGACTACATTCTCATGCTATCGATGCACCAAGCAAAGAAATTAAACCGTTTTTGGAACGAGCTGGTTTCGCAAAAGTTGCAGAAATCTCCTCGATCAAAGTTGATTCAAAGCTTGTAATCGCTATGTTGGAGAGGTGGAGACCAGAAACACATACTTTCCATCTACCAACAGGTGAATGTACCATCACACTGGAGGATGTGAGTATGTTATTGGGTCTTCGCGTGAATGGTAAGGCCGTGAATGGTCCTACTCAGGTAGGAGGTGATGTATATATGGAACATTTAGGCGTAGAACCTACAACATCTGATAAACATAAAGGGTACGTTAAAATTGTTTGGCTACAAACTACATTAGCATGATTACGACAAAAAGCAAGACCAACCGATGAGGAAAATCTTTTACATGCAAAAATATATATTTTATTACTCATAGCTAAGGTATTAATGCCAGACAAGAGTCATAACTATATGCATTCTTCTTGGATACCCCTAGTTGGAGATTTAGATAAATGCAGAAGATATAGTTGGGGTTCTGCTTGTTTGGCTACATTATATAGACATATGTGTAAAGCATCTATGGTAGGGGTCAAAAGTATTGGTGGGTGTGTTCTACTACTAAGTGTTTGGACATATTGGCGTATACCACTAATAGCTCCAGAGTCTCCTGCCACTGCACACCATCCTTATGCAACAAGGTAAATTTTGTTTACATTTTCTTTATCATTTATTTTCTTTTTGTTTCCATCCCTAAATTATTTATCTTTTTTTTAACATTGCAAGATTTGTTCGAAGAGGCATGGCTTATCAAAATAATCCTCGGCACTACGTCCGAGGATTTAGATTCGCACTAGACAGATTAAGGGCTAACGATGTAAGTTTGTTAACGCAACATTCTCTAAATATGTGTCACCCATTGTATTAAAACTCTAACACTTATATTTTCTGTAACAGTTTATTTGGAGGCCATACCCAAGCTACCCCGAATGCGTCCTTCAAGATAGCCAGATTTGGAGCGCTACAACATCAATTATCAGTTTCCATATCGTTGAAATGCATCAGGCTGATAGGGTCAAATTGCAGTTTGGATTTCAACAAGATATCCCTCCTCAGCCTAGATGTCTACGTCAACAACATGAGACTGATATGCCTAATACATGGGGAGATCATTGGCGCAATATAAATAAAGAAGAAAACAACAAGTGGAGAAACAGAACAAATTTGACCCTACGAGGTAACATGGTTAACGGTAACTGTGTTCATAGTGCTGAATATATGCAATGGTTTTTATCCATTCCATTTATGCACGCTTCTCAAGGTCAGTTCCTAGAGGACCCCCGTCAGTATGCAACGTCTTCATCACAACAAAGATCCTCTTCGCCCATGCCTCAAGAAATGCCTCAGGTGAACCCTTCACAATTTGAAACACAGACATCTTCATTCAACCAGCCAACATTCTTTGTCGCCTCCTCTCAACAACCAACACAACCACAACCCCAACCAACATATCAACGCACTCATACTACATTCTTTGCCACCTCCTCTCAACAACCAACACCGTACACCCCAACCCCACAACCAAACTACTACTATCGACAACAATATCAGGAACAAGCCACATTTCAACCTTCTTTTCAATTCACTCCGATCCCTCAGCCTAATTTTGATTTCTCTTACCCCCAACCACAACACCAAACATTTAACCCTTCAATGTCTCATCCAAGTTCATCTGGTCGCACCGACAATGTTTATTACCCTCCCATCCAACAAAACCCTCCAACCACTTTCACCCAACCATTCCAGTCAACCCCTAACTTTACCCTAACGGATGATCAACTCATGGAATGGCCAGGTTTTTCGGTTACTGATGTGGACATGCTTGATACATCACGTCAACCTGAAAATGAAGAGTTGACTTCCGACTCTACCCCATCACCTCCAATACGGCAAACTCAAGAGTTAGGCAGGGGGAAACGTGTGAAAAAGAGTACATTGTGTGGAACTAGCGGTCATTTGCGTAGATAAATATGATGTATTTTCTCCACTCATCAATATTAATAAATTTTTTTTTTATTTTATCTAATTATTTAGTTAAACAATTAATTATATAATTTATTATTTTATATAATTATTTATCATTTTGTATATATAAAAATATTAAAAAATAATTTGAAATAATTAAATTACTTATTAGGTAATATAAAATATCATTTAACTAATTTTAATATATAAAAAACAATTAATTAGATAATGTAAAAAACAATTATTAATATTTAATACTTAATTATATAATGTAAAAAACAATTATTAATATTTAATAATTAATTATATAATGTAAAATTTATATTATTTATATTAAATTATTTTTAAAATAATTAAATTATTTTTTTATTATTATATAATATTATTTAAATCATTTAAATATAAAAAAATCTATTAAAAACAAAAAATAATAAAAAAAAATCATTTTAAATCTGAAATTAAAAAAAAAAAAAAAAGACCTAGAGCAGGGTCGGCCATCCATTGGCCGAACCCTTGCTGCGCCAAAATGCTCTCCATTGGGTCGTCCAATGGTTGGACGAACCCTTTCTGGGTTTGTGGCAATTGTGTAATTTTTTTTCAGCTAGTGGCAATTTGGTGTATTTGATTTCAGCATGTGACAAATTGGTAAAAAATTCCAATGGATTGTCTTAAGTATAAGATATAAAAATTACATTATGACAATCAATTGTACCTCCCATTCAATTGATGTCACAAGTTAAATTTTGAATTTTACACTTTGAAATAAGAAATGACAATTGATTGGATAGTCCTCTCAATCGATTGTTACAAAATCAAATTTAAAATTTTAATAAGCTAAAATGCCATTTCAAGATACTGTTTAAAGAATTGTTTGATATGAAATATGCTTGAACATTTAGTTTATGAACAATCAACAATAAATTTGTACCTTGATACATAAAAAACCTTGATCTTTATTTAATTATTCAATGAAGTTCGAAAGTTATTAATCTTAATTTTACCAAACATGTTGATCTTCTTTCTATAAATTTGTCATCATTAAAACAAAGAATCAAATAAGAACTTGTCTTCACATTAGATAAAAGGCAGAAGGTGACCAACATATTTGAAAGTTTATCCTCTTAAATAATATATCATATTTTAAAAAATATAATAAATATTCTTTTAAAATAAAAAGCATTTTTTTTACAAAAATTAATAAGGAAATGAAATCAATATTTATTCTATAAAAACAAAGACTTTGAGGAGATTCTAAAATAAACCTTTTTATAAATACCCATTCTTGTTTGGACCATTCCTTTAACATAATTCTTTTAAAACTACACCATAAAAAGTAATTCTAAATAAATTTATGATTACTTACAATGTAAGATATTTTCATAGATAAGAAAAAAAACAACTTTAATTAAAAAAAAAAAAAAAAAAAAAGAAACACAAGAGGAACGCACGAAGACGAAGCTAGAATTGAATAGACCAATAGAAAAAAAAGCAACTATAGTTGAGTTGAAAGTTGAACCCTCTAATTGTTCTTTTGTTCCGCGTTTTCTAATTCTGTCTCAATAAATACCTCTCAAATCTCACTCTTAACTCCTCCTTTTCTTCCCTTTTTCACTCTCAAATCCTTTTCTCTACTTTACTTTCTCATCATCAAAACGCAGTGTGAAGAGTGTGTGATAGTGATACTGAAACGCTGCAGAAAAAAAAACTAAAACCGTTTCTTTTTTCTCTTATGGCATGCCCGAAGAGGACGAAGATCAATTTTGGATCACTCAATTCCACTGATTCTTCATCATCGTCATCATGATTTTCCGGTTATTTCACCCTTTTCTTCTTCTTCTCTTCACTCAATTTGGTACTTTCTTTCTCTTACATAGATATGAATTTTCTTGCTTTCTTTGTTTTTGCCTTCGGTTTTTAATTTTTGTTTTATTAAAAATTCATCTATTTATTATTTATTATGTTCATATCTTATGCTACAATTATGATTACATTGAAATTGAGGAGTGTCCTTCCTTAGTACATACATGTACCTGAGATTCACCTGAGATGAGATGGGACCACTGATTCTTCAATTCATATATTTGATTACTATTAATGTTTCAGTTCTATTAAATGGTTGTTCAGGTTCTGGATTGATTCAGTGTTGTCGAATAGCAGCTATAGTACACCCTAGTGTAGTTGAATTTGGATGAATTGTTATTTTTTTGTGATATGTGATTTAATGCCAAGTGTTGAATTAGATTTAACAAATAGGTATTTTGTGGGATTATGGTTGATGGCAGCAGATGGATTTTTTGTTTTGGAGCTCTAATGTTCTTTGTTTGGGTTGATTTTCAGCGTTGCTGCAAGCATTCACGGGAACGTATGGTATAAATTATGGGAGGATTGCAGATAATATTCCGTCGCCCGATGAAGTTGTTACTCTTCTCAGAGCTTCGAAGATAAGGAACATTAGAATCTACGATGCTGATCACAGTGTTCTCAAGGCTTTTAGTGGAACCGGTCTTGAAATTGTTATTGGAGTTACCAATGGACAGCTGCAAGATATGAGTTCGAGTGCGGATCATGCTTTGAACTGGGTGAAAGAAAACGTGCAGGCGTTTCTTCCCGAGACACGAATTCGTGGAATTGCTATTGGAAATGAAGTTTTGGGTGGGTCTGACAACGCGTTGTGGGGGGTTCTTCTGGATGCTGCGAAAAATATTTATAATGCTACAAAGAAACTTCATCTGGATAAGATAATTGAGATTTCTACCGCTAACTCGTTTGCCGTTTTTCAAGATTCTTACCCTCCGTCCTCTTGTAAATTTGACAATAATGTTAAGCAGTACATGAAGCCGTTATTAGAGTTCTTCCAACAAATTGGATCTCCTTTCTGTTTGAATGCATACCCTTTCCTAGCTTATGTGAGTAAACCAGACGATATTGATATAAATTATGCTCTTTTTCAACCAACAAAGGGAATTTATGATCCAAAGTTTAAACTGCATTACGATAACATGCTCGATGCTCAGATTGATGCAGCTTATGCTGCATTGGAGGATGCTGGATTTCATGAAATGGAAGTCATAGTTACAGAGACTGGGTGGGCCTCTGCAGGAGACCCAAACGAACCTGGAGCAAACGCAACTAATGCGAGGACGTATAATTATAATTTGCGCAAGAGGCTTGCGAAGAAGAAAGGAACCCCGCATAGGCCTAAAAATGTTGTAAAGGCGTATATTTTTGCAATCTTCAACGAGGATTCAAAGAATGGTCCTACCTCTGAGAGGAATTATGGATTGTTCAAGGCTGATGGGAGCATATCATACGATGTCGGGTTTCATGGACTTAATGCTGGATATTCATCTCATTTGTCTCTTAAGGTACTATAAATTTCATTTGATGCTATGTTGTTTAGTTTTATGCTCATTTACAAGTTTTCTAGCATAGATATTGTATCAACTTTTACTATACTTATAAGAGACTACCTTATTGGAAAATATATATCCTAGTTTTTAAGTAACCATATGGTTTAGGGACATGGGTAGAAGTTTGAGCTTCTCAAAAGTGCATCTAAAGAAAGCTAAAATGAAAGTTAATCGTTAGAGTCCCAAGTTGAAAAAAGATATGGTCTCAATATATGTTTATAAGTGAAGGTAATCCTCATCTTACTACGAGCCGGTTTTGTAAAGATGAGTTAGACCCAACCCACACATTTTAAGATGGTATCAAAGCATATTCTAGATCTTTTATTGAGCTTCCCGCATCGTGTCCATGCATCAGTCTCATTGAGACGGCATTTGGCCTACCTTCATTCCATCCTCCAACACTTATGTTGTGTCTCACGCATCGGCCATACTTCAGTCTCATTGAGACGGCATTTGGCTTACCTTCATTCCAGCCTCCAACACCTATATTGTTTTGGGTTTCAAGGGTGAATTTAGTCCCTCATTGCTTTGATATGACGTTAATAGTATTTATAAAACTTGGGCAACTCTCACCCTATATTGTGATGAGTTAGTTCCAACTCAAATTTTAAGATGAATTATATAAGAAGAAACAACTAAAATTATGGGGTAGCCGATACGATATGTCAACTCCTCTCGTTGCAGCATAGTGGCGCGTTTGATATATCGGTTATAGTGGTAAGTAATGAATATCGAAGTTGTGTGTTTTAGTGGTGGCAAGACTTTTATAATGTTAAAGCAAGGATATGAGTTGTTGAGTAGGAAATGATCTCGGTACTCTAGAGTTTATGATTCTCACACACATCGATGCATGGATATCATAAATTAGAAAAGCAGTCGCTCACCTTGCTAGATTACCTTGATAGTTTATGAAAATTTTCATTAATTCAAATTGTAATGTTTACATTTGCATTAATACTTTGCGAATTTAATTACTAAATTATGAGTTTGAAACCATGTTGTTTACTTGATTTGGCTTGGCAGGATATCAATACTCAAGGCCTGTCGCGGTCGTACACGGTCACCATGATATTGTGTTTATCAGCTCTGATACTGATGATTTTCTAGAGTTAGTTTCCTTGGCAATGGAGATTTTTTTGCCTTGGCTTTACTTGCTCTCTCAGAGATCAAAATTATGCCATTGATGATTGCCATATTTTATAAAGCAATATGCCATTAATGATTGCCATATTTCATAAAGCAAAATCTGAAAATTTTGATGTATTTTATTCATATTTAAAAAACGCATAATCATAATTATTTCTTTTCATAAAACATTCACCATCTTTACATCAGATATAGAACTTTTCAGTTTTAAGTACATAATAAATTTTGAACACTAAAAGTTCAAGTTTATCAATTACAGTAGTCTATTTATGTTGATCAAAACACTTATGTGCACATAATGAATGACAAAAATAATGTCAGGTGAGAAGAAGCTTCTTTTTGTAAGTCACATTGAGTGTTATAGTTGTATGTTATGTTTGGTTACTCGTTTTCTTTTTCACATGCAAAATTGTGGGTCATTTGATTGAATATATAATAAATTTAAATAAAATAAAAATTATAGATACTCATATAATTGAATTAATACAAATTTTGATCATAAAATCTCTATTGTTCAATGGAACTATGTTTTCTAAATATGACTAAATAAGATACAGGTGATAAAAAAAATAAATGTTTAATCATCATTCATTACTCTACGTGATATACTAATTTAAGTACTATTTAAAAACTTATCAACCTGACATTTGTAACATAAATTTAAAAAAAAAATCAATTAGTATAAATTAAAATGGATAATCTATCATTTTTTTTGTTTAACAATTTTTGTGGCAGATTTTCAAAACCAATCGAATAATAAAATCTTCCGTGTCTTTAAGTTCGGTGGGATATTAGTAATATGAAGAGAAAACTTATTCAAAATTTAAGTTTATTTTAAAATAAATAAGAAAAAATCAAAACATTAAATCATTGAATGATAGGTAAATCTAACCAAACTTATATAATTGAGTTTTCCTAAAAAAATAACTTTAAAAGTTTCACTTCTAAAGTTTGTATTTTCAAAGAAAGCACTTAAAAATAAATGAATAAATTAACAGGGTGTGATCTGTTATGATCAAATTAAAGAGCTAAAAATCATCTATCATTTATGTATTTTAATTGATAAATATAACATGAGAGTATCATTCATTTTATTTATGCTACTGTCATGATGTATACATGATGTGTAACATGTTGAACAATATGCTATTTTGACTGTAAGCTTATAGAACTTAAAACCAAAAATTTAGGGTATACCAAAAACAACAATGAACATAACTCAACTTCCTATGAATCACATTATATTTATATCAGAATAAGAATTATAAAATTTCTTTCTCTAATTCCAGTACTACTCAAGTAGTTAGGGAATGATAAAAAAATATATGAAAGTTGGCATGTATAACAACAAGTGTATTTATTTTAGAGGCACGTTTTATGCTCTTAGACTATTTCCATCCGTTGACATTTTCTGCAGGCTGAGATGTATGTAAAAAAATGTAAGTCAGCTATCATCAAGTTGTGATCAGAACTGATAACACACTATCTAACTGTCAAGGTTGATTATATGAGATTAATACATCTGATATCATCGACGCTGCTTCTTCTGATGTTCCGTCGGCTGATGCTCCATCATCCCTAGGTGCTGGACCAGGTTCTACTGCTACTACTACTCCACCACAAAGCTCAGCCTCAGCCACAACCAAGACTGCTGCTAGCTTCACTCTTCTCCTTGTTACTATTGCCTTCAATTTTTTCTCCCAACTTTAAATGATGTTTTGATTCGGCGAAGAGAATGACAGAATCACATTGAATCGTGGTGAATTTTAGAAAAGCTACACCTTGAACGTTTCAACAAAAATAATGTGTTTGGTATGATTATGATATGAATAAACAATGTTATTATCCTATTGTTGTGGGGGAAATTTTAGTTCTGTTTTTCAATGGATACATTATTTTTCCACTATAGTTTACTTTTATGTTGATGAAAATTTTAAATCAAAGTTGCATTAGACTATTGAATTTTAGGTGTAAAATAGAACATATGAACATGGCAGCATGTTATTTTGACTTTCAACAAGTTAAATTACTTTGAAGCAATGAACAAAAATATGAATAAAAATATGAATGTGATTTGGTGTATCTACCACTAGAAATAATTGTGTTAAAGTAGGACGTAAATAATAGAAATAATTAAGTTTACAAATGTCAATAATTTGATGTTTGAATACTTAATTTTGTTGGAACAAACAACAATTCGATTGCGTTAACAATGGTAGAATTTAGAATTTAGAGATTTGAAATTGAGAGAAATAATAGAAAGAGATATTGAGGGTGAGAATTATAATTGACATTAATCACAAATAGGAGCACTAAAGACTATTTATACAACATGTACAAAATAATTGAAAAAAATACAAAACAACTTTAAAAGTAAGCTAAAACACAAAAAACGCCAAGTGTAACTGGTTACCATATTTAGAGTAATCGATTACCACAAAACCTTCGAGCCACTTACTCTTCGTGGACAATGAGTAACCGGTTACCACATGTCCGGTAACCGGTTACACAAACTGAAATGACAGAAAAACAGTTTTCTAACACACTACCTCATTTCAGTTGGTCCAAGTCCATCATCCTCAAACTCATCTTTAACTTCTTGAACACTTCATTTGTTACTCCCTTAATCAACAAATCTGCCACTTGGTCTTCTCTTCGACAATATCTCAATCTTAGCTCGCCTTCACTCACTAGCTCCCTCAAATAATGAAATTGCATCTCAATATGCTTGCTTCTTCCGTATGCAATCGGATTCTTCGCAAGGTTTATCGCAGAAACATTATCAATAAGAAGTGTGGTAGCATCACTCTCATTGCTATCCAACTCCTTCAATAGATTCATGAGCCACATAGCTTGACACGCACATAACAATGCTGCAATATACTCGGCCTCACAAGACGAGAGTGCTACCACTGGTTCCTTCTTCGAACACCAAGAGATTGGTGTTCTACCAAACATAAAGATGTATCCAGCCGTCGACTTTCTATCATCTTTATCTCCACACCAATTGGAATCAGTGAAACCAAGTAAATTACATTTTCGGCCCGTATTCGTTGCGGGAAAGAGAATTTCACAGCCAACGGTTCCTTTAACATATCTAAGGAACCTCTTGACCACTGCTAAGTGAGTCATCTTCGGTCTCTCCATGAATCTACTAGCAATACTGACACTAAACGTCAAGTTCTTTGGCGTATTGCACAAATACCGCAATGATCCAATCAATCTCCTATATTGCGTTGGATCCATATATTGCTCATCCTCACTCATGGACAACTACAACCTTGCTTCGCATGGTGTAATGGTCGCATTATAATGCTCCATTTCACACCTCTTCAAACTCTTAAGAGCATATCTTCTTTGGTGCATGAGCAGTCTTGTTTTTGACTTGTGGAACTCTATGGCAATGAAATATGTCATGATACCAAGGTCCGTCATATCAAATTCATCCATTAGTTCACTCTTGAACTTGGAAATACTCTTCTCACAGCTTCCAGTAATTCATAGATCATCAACACACAAGCAATGAATGATCACGCCATCATTCACATCTGATTTCACATACACTACGTGTTCAGACACACACAACTTAAAACCAATATCAATTAGAAAGTCATTAATGTGTTTTCTCCAAGCTCTTGGAGCTTGTTTCAAACCATGTAATGCTTTATGCAATTAGTATAACTTCAACTTTTGATTCTTCACTACAAATCCGGGTGGCTGCTCAACATAAACCTACTCATCAAGTGGACCGTTCAAAAAATGCAGATTTGACGTCCATTTGATATATCGCCCAATCGTTGTTATTCGTAATGCCAATAACTAATCAGATAATTTCTAGTTAAGACACAGGTGCAAACACCTCCTCAAAGTCTATACCTTCGCGTTGCAAAAATCTATTTGCTACCAGTCGAACCTTATGCTTGATCAACTCACCTTTGAGATTTACTTTCAATTTATAGACTAATGGAACACCAATTGGCTTCTTTCCAAGCGGTAAATTAACCAACTCCCAAGTACAAATTTTTCAATAGATTTCACCTCTTTCTACATTGCACAAATCCACTTTAGATCGCTTAGAGCCTCTTCCGTGTTCACCGGTTCGGATTCGACGATAAGCGCAAATTGGACAAAATCACCATCATCATTGATTTCGTTGTTGATTGTCTAACATTCTCTTTATTTTGGACCTCGATCGGTGGTTATACGGTTGTTTCGGAACTGGCTAGGAGGTTGTTTTTCCTGCATGCAATTGGTTACACCATAATGAACGGGCTGAGTATAACCGATTACATTGGGGATTTCATGTCTTATTTCATCAAAAATCACGTCGCGGTCGATCACTATTTTTTGATTTCGTGCATCAAACATCTTATATCCACCAGTAGAATGATATCCAACCAATACCATCTCCTCACCCTTGTCGTCCAACTTCTTTCTAAGTTGACCCGACACAAGTCGATACGCCACCGAACCAACAACTCTCAAATATCTTAGATTCAGTTTGAATCCGGACCATACCTCTTCTGGTGTCAGCTTCTCAAACTTCTTAGTAGGGCACTTATTCAGCAAATAGGTGGTTGTAGAAACGGTTTCTCCTCATACCTCCTTCAGAAAGTTCTTTCCACTCAACATGCTTCGAACCATGTTCGTAATTGATCAATTATTTCTTTCGACAACACCATTTTATTGTGGTGTATAGGGTGGCACCACCTCATGAACTATCTCCTCTTGATCACAAAAATTCCAAAAGTCGTTCGAAACGTATTCACCTCCACTGTCCGTTTTGAGCACTTTAAGTTTTTGATCACATTGTCGCTCCACTAAAGACTTAAACTTCTTGAACACATCAAACACCTCATCCTTCCTCTTGATAAAATAAGTTCATAGCTTTCTACTAAAATCGTCGACAAAAGTGACAGTATTTATTGCCACCCAACGTGTCAACTTGCAACGGCCCACAT